CCCTCCTCCCCCCTCCCCGCGTGGGCTTTTTTAAATGCCACGTTAGCGAGGCAAGGAGAGAACTCCCAACGAATTTATTTCCTGGAAAACCAGCCCAGTTTTCCCTCCAGGGGTGGAGGGAGGAAAGGAAAAAAAAAAGGGGGGGGGAGGGAGAAACTTTCATAACGGGGTCAGAGTCGGTCTCCAACGCGGTGTCCCGGTGAAGCTGGCTCCCGGTGCCACCCGTGGGCCGGGAAGGAGTTAACTCCCGCCCGAGAGCCGCGGGGGGAATGTGCAGTCAGGGAGGTGCTAGTGAAAGTGACTGCAGAGGAGTGAATGGGGCTGGGAAAGTTTTAGAAATGCTTCCTTAGGTATTTGACAGCGTGTTCCGCTCCCTCATAAATTTGGTTTGAAATTGAGTCTCTACTCAAAGTGCTACAGCTTTCCCCCTTTCCCCCTCTTGGATTTTCCACAAATTAGCAGATCAAGAGAGATTCAGAAAATGTCTCTGAATACACGTTTGTTAAGTAAGCTTTCTTTTGAGGCGTGGCCAAAGCCTTCTAAATCCTTAATTAAGGGCAGCTTGAGTCTGGGAGCTTTATTGTGCTGTACTGCTGACAGCCGAGGTTAAACTTTCCTGCTATCTCTCATGTGCTCCTCGGAATTACGCAAGATCTTTGCAACTTTTGAAATCAGGGAGCCAGGGTTTGGAGCGCGGTCCGTGTGTCCTATTGCACTTGAAGCATTGCTTCCTTAAAGGAAAGGTGCTTGAGGAAAGTGGAGTCCAGCGGCATCAAATGGGTTTAATAAAGGTTTATCAACGGGTTCCTTGCTGTGCAGCTCCGAGTAACGTTCCCTTGTAAATACAGCAGTCTTGAGACTATTTGCACAGATGAGCTTATAAGTCTTTTATTTATTTTTTCCCCTTGCAGAAGAAGAACAAGAGGAAGATGAGGAAATTGATGTCGTTACATTAGCTGAAGCAAATGAATCCGAATCCAGCACAGAGTCCAGCACAGACACATCAGAAGAGCACAGTAAGCCCCACCACAGCCCGTTGGTTCTCAAACGGTGTCACGTCAACATCCATCAGCACAATTACGCCGCTCCTCCTTCCACCAAGGTTGAATACCCAGCTGCAAAAAGGCTAAAGTTGGACAGTGGCAGAGTTCTCAAACAGATCAGCAATAACCGAAAATGCTCAAGTCCCCGCACGTCGGACTCGGAAGAGAACGACAAGAGGCGAACGCACAATGTCTTGGAGCGCCAGAGGAGAAACGAGCTGAAGCTGAGTTTCTTTGCCTTGCGTGACCAGATACCCGAGGTGGCCAACAACGAAAAGGCACCCAAGGTTGTCATCCTGAAAAAAGCAACGGAGTACGTTCTTTCCATCCAGTCGGATGAACACAGACTGATCGCAGAGAAAGAGCAGTTGAGGCGGAGGAGAGAACAGTTGAAACACAAACTTGAGCAGCTAAGGAACTCTTGTGCATAGGAACTCTTGGGCATCGCTTAGAATAACCCAAACTAGACTGAAACGATGATAAAATATTAGTGTTTCTAATATCACTCATGAACTACACCAGTCCATTGAGTATGGAACTATTGCAACTGCATGCTGTGCGATTTAACTTGAGACTACACAACCTTGGCTGAATCTCCCAAGGGTTTGGCCAGAACCTCAAAACTGCCTCATAATTGATACTTTGGGCATAAGGGATGATGGGACATTCTTCATGCTTGGGGATGAACTCTTCAACTTTTTTTCTTTTGAAATTTTGTATTTAAGGCATTTTTTCATATGAGAATCACCCAAAAAAGTTGTCCCCAGATTGCTGTATATATTTACACATCTTATTGCCATGTAAATACCTTTTAATAAAGTCTTTATAGAAAAATGTGCAACATTAATACGCAACAGTTGTGGCAACTGGATTTATACTTGTCTTGAACTTCTGTGCCATAACATTTCACAATTTTGTTTTTTATTTAAATACATTTTTCTTTTAAAAATGATTTTTATTTTGTTTTTAGATAAATAAATATTTGCCCAAAATATAATTAGCTAAATCCTGTGTAAAGACTTTGCTTTGTCCCCCACTGTTGTCATTAGATGCTTATTTCCATGACATCTCTCTCCCTGTCATGGCAGTGACCTGAGAAAAAGTCAAAGGGGAGTTAGGTGAGAGGAAATGAGATGATCGTTTTCCAGCTTAGTAGGGAGTTGGGTTTCTTCCTCCCCTCTTGTATTAATTCAAGTAGATAAGATCATTGGTCTAATGTGCTTTGTCGGTTCAACCAGTGTTGCCACCAGTGCCTCCATGAAGGTGCTGGTGGCAACGTCTGTCTTGGCCATGGTCATCTGGCTGGGTTGAGGCATTGTATTTTTACACCAGTCACCCCGGTGTATGGGCTCTGCATTCCTTCCACATACGTTTACCTACATTTTCGGGGCTTGACCTTCATTCTGCAGTAGGGACTCAGCTACATATTTTGAGGGCTGCTTTGTAGTAGGCTCACCTTAATTGCTTCCTGTTTGATTTTGAACAGAAGTTAAATGGGATAAGAAAATAAACTGAGATGGTGAGTGTTGAAGTGGTTAAAACAACAGAGCGGTTTCCCTTTTTAAGTGCTGAAATTAGCAGAGCCAATCTTCCTAGGCAAGCACCTTAACACTTTATTAACGTGGATAGTTTCTTAGGATTTCAAGGAATACAAAGTTCAAGGACACACAAGAGGGAGCAAAGGAGAAGAAGAGCTATTTCTCCCCTGGGAATATGCTTGGACAGATTTCTAACACTTGCCAGACATATTAAATCATATTTACATTCAGGAATTGTTTCATGATCAGCTTCGGATGGGCCATAAAGTACTTGCTTGACACAGCTCCTAAGATTAGATTTGATCTTTTTCTTCCCCCCCTTTCACCCACTTAGCTCCACTTCGGTCAGAACTTGAGCAAGAAATCAATGAGCCCTTTGATGTAGGGGAAGAAGGTACTTTTCAAAAAGTTGAACCTTGTATGTTTCGATTTTCATAATTCCCGTTAAATACATATTTACTTGGCTTCTAACAATTTGAGCAGCAGTGCTGCCAGGTAACACCAGTGCCAGCAACCGAACTGAGACTGAGGGTTCAGGTTTTCTGTAGGTTTTGAGTTCAGAGCAGGAAGAGGAAGGGTTGAGTGTGGGTGTACATGGTGTGGGGGAGTGGAGGTAGCATTTTAGGGACAGGGTAGATGCCAAAGGTCTCTGCTCTGCAAGGCCTAGGGTAACCATCCTAACAATTTTGCACATGGGACTCCCAAAAGAAAATAAGTGTCTAAATACCATTTGATGAGGCGCTTTATGTGCTGGGCTGAAGATTTCTTGGGAAAAAAAATCGTTCTGTTAGAAAACCAGGAGAAAGCAAGGCTTTTCTCTTCAATTTGTCTGCACCACCCGCTTGTAACTGGGTTTATAGAAGTGGTCTGTAGTTGCTTTTTTCAGTGTGTGATTCAGATACTCACTTATAAGGAAAAAGAATGACGGGAAATGAAACTGTTAATTGTATCTGAACTGAAAATCAGGACATCTTTCAGCTCTGAATAACAGAAAAGTTCTACCTTTCATTAGACAGGATAACATTTAAAAGAACATGAATTTCACTTGCCTTTTGGCATGCACTCTATCTTAGATATTGCTTAGGAACAAAAGCAAGCTGTTGTTCAAGAATTTCTAACTGCATCCCCATCCTCCAAAACAAACTGAGAGGTGTAGATCCATCCACGAACTATGAAAAAAGTCTGTCACCTTTGGGTCCCACTTTCATGTATTAGCAAAACCCCCTCATTTCTTCCCATTAAATGAGGTTAGACCACGATGATTAATAAACCTCTCCTTATTTGCCAGCTTCTTAAATCATTTGGAGAATAGTTCTGTTTTTTTCTTCTATCTGCAGAAGGTCCTCGGTCTTTTGATGAATAGGATACTTGCAGTTATTTAATTTCTTACTCTCATCTTTTAATTGAGCATCAGTTCCGCTTGCCACTTTCCTACTGAAGAGTACACCAGACCATGAACATGATCCCAAATTGCCACTCTAAAAGATCCCAATTTTATGGGATGACACTTCATATTTATAACATTTCTTACTTTGTTGAAGGATTACAAAGTACCTAAATAAGGTAGTAAAACATAAATTTAACACAGCCTATGGGTACAGGGGTAAAAAACTTCTCCTGGTCATTAAACTGCTGCTACAATAAAAAGCAAGGTGGCTTCCACTTTCCGACTCTGCACGAGAGGTTAGGACGTTCAGAAGACACAGACAGCCCAACGGAGTTTCTGGGCTGGATTCGGTTAGTAACGCATTGTATACAGATGGGGAAGTGTTGGGTTTTGCTGCTGCTTTGGAGCAATAAAGGAGATAAGCTTATAAAAGAAGCCTCTGAGCCTTGAAATAAAATGCAGTAAGTATTTATAGTGCTTGCCAAACAGCTGTACCAAAACACTACTTGAAAAACAAGAATCATTTTTAGCTTCATCTCTCTGCTCCTTTACTTTCACAGGAGATTTCAAGCCACTTCTCTTCCAGAAAAACATTAGGCAAAATATGGCATCAAAGGAAACTAGAAACAAACCATCATGATGAAAATAAAATTGCCCTTATCATATACTCTCACTGTTCTCATTTAATAAAACTGATTTTTAGGGTTCCAGCTTCATTTTTTTTCTTGTGTATAAGTTCTGTCTTTCCAGCCAACTGATAATCTGAATGACTTCAATGTATCAATACAGAATATGCTGGGGGAGCATTGGGATGTGCAAAAGCACCTGTGTCGGCTTAATTCAGCTCCTGCCTGAGTCTGTGGAAATTCCATGTTTCTTCCAGGGAAACAGACTCATGCCAGTGGAGGATGCTCTTGAAAATTTTATCACTGCCTATAAAGAAATCACTTTACTTGCCACTGACATAACCACTCTTGCTCCTGTAGCACTTTGTAACCATTGCAGGCAGTTGAGAGATGACAAACATTTCATCAGAGTTGTACTAAAAGGAGAATTTCAGGTAAGTGGAATAGAATTACTGTAAACTAGAAATAAGCCAGGCCACTTCAGTTAAGATCTGAATTTATTAAAAACAGAAGGTAGAGGTGGTTGTTTCATCTACAGAGATGAGCCATCTTCTAACATGCTGGATTTTTTTTTTTTTTTGACTGATCTGTGTTAGAGTCATCTGTCAATGAATTATCAGAAAAATAAAACTAAATGATAAGGAATCCTAACACAACCAGACAGCTTGGGAAGAGACTCAGGATTTCCTTCCCAGCTTACGGGTTTGCTATTTCCTCATTTTAAGGGGACATCTATGGGAGCTTCTGAAAAAAAAAAAAAGGCTCTGCTGACTGAAAACTAGCCCCTGGTTTCCCCTTGAGGTTTCCATGCAGACGAGGCCTAAACCTGCTTAGAAAAAAAGAATAAAATCAAGAAATGAGATAGATGAGCCGCAGAAGCCAGATTTCATTTCCAGTACAAAACGTTTGACGCTCAGCAGGTTTTACCTGCCTTTGTGCCATTTACTCATCTCAGTCATAGCTGTAGAGTCAGTGGGGACAGGCAACGGCAAGAACGTTATCCAAGATTCAGAATGGCAGCTAGGAAGTCAAAGGGGAGGGGGGGTCCTAACTCTGCCATTCACCTTCTGCAGACATCTTGAGCAAAGGGAGGGTGCAAGCATTTGGAGCATCTTGCTGATGGCAGTGGACGCAGCGGTGTGAGTAATGCACAACGTGGAAGAGCTGCAGCTACCGCACATCCAGGTGGGAACAGGGTTGGGTGAGACACTGGCCAGGCAGTGACAATACCACCTCTTAACCAGGTCTTGACTATCAGACAGGGTATTTTTTTCACATCTCTACAGAGGCCAAGGACCTTGTCCCTAAGTATGCCCAGACTCCATCTTCCTAGGAATGAGATAAGTTCATTTTTCTGATAATAAAAAGTATTATCAGAATACTTTTTGCTAAGTATTAGTGCATATGAAAAAGTTTCCTTTGCCACTTGCCAAAACTATTTAATGTTTGTAGTTGCTGAACAAACCTTGCTTCAAGTTGCCACCAATGCATGGGAGCCCGAGCTACAAGGCTCATCTGCATGGTCGTGCTTGAAGCCATGAGATGCAAGGGAGAAGTTGTTGGCTGAGAGTGGAGCTGCATGACTCTGGCTGACTTTGATGGCAGAGTATCTTATTCCCACAAGCACAGCAGTTTCCAGTGATTGATGTACGAATTGATGTACGAATTGTGGAGCTATTCCTCGTTCTACGCAAGTGTGGGAGAAAGCAGCTAGGTAGGTTAGTTCCTGACATTATGTATTACGGTGATTGCATTTTGTTGCTAAACTCACCCTTCACGTATGTCTTTCTATGGGTCTTGCCACAGCTACTGTTTTGTTGAATACATTTCCATTCAAGGCAAAATCTTTCTTGCAACCATGTGTAATTTCCATCGCAAGCTTCTATGTCCCAATTATGTGGAATTTTGTTTTCCCTATAGGATCAAAAAGAAAAAAAATAAAGAAGAAATAAAGGATTAGGTGCTATGAATGAAGAGGTTTTAAAATATAAGTTGCAAAAATGGAGCAATCTGACTGGGTAACAAAGAGTTCCAAGCAGAGAAATTAGCACTGCTTGGAACTAATTAGCCCCATCAGCTTCCTTCATGCTAATTTATCCATGATGAAAGAGGACAGAAATAGCAAGAGGGAAAAAAAATTAAAAATTACAGGAATTGTGCTTTATATACAACTACTATGACTAGGCAAACCCTTGCAGGCTAAAGTGCGAGCGTGCATGATCAAATGCAAAGCCCTGCTCCCACAGTCATGTCCCTTCGGACATCTCTCGGGATCGCTGCAGGTTGCAGTTGCACAGCAGCGCTCCCGTTTCCCAGCACATTTTTCTTCCAGGCGCCATGCGTGTGCAAGGGGCTGCTTGTAGGGATGCAGCTGCCAGAGTGAGAGCTTCTTTCCACTCCTTTTTCTCCCATTAATCTGCTCCGTGACGACAGCAGAACCAAACAA